TATGATAGATATTAGTTTTGTGGTTACCTGTTTTTTTTTTTTTTTAAGTACACGTTCTGTGGTATAACCGTAGTATCAAGTGTTTGATTAAGATGCCTATTTGCTGAATGATCAATTTCCTAAATTACTGAGAATTTATTTAACTATAATTAAATACATCTTTTGCCAAAAGTTGTTAGTCTAGCGCCATTAAACATAAAAATCTTGTTTCATGTTTCAGAATCCAAGTTCTTACTGAATGCTTGAAATTTTTTGGTAAGGATTAGATGAAATAATGTATTTTGTTCTGTATTTTTGTTCTGTAGAACTCATAATAAAGACACTGATACAGGAAAAGGAAAGAAAAAAATTGCTTCTCCCCCCGCCCCCCATAAAATTTTCTTTTCCTTGAGGTTACAAAAGTTTACAACACTGTAGGATTCAGGTGTGCAGTTTCCAGCCTCAGGTATATATATCACATCCCAGTTACCACCAACAACCAGAGGGGGAGGATGAAAGCTTGAAATATTTTAGGGAGAGGCTTAGCACTGACTCTAAACTTAGTTTACTCTTTTCCATTCTTGTAAATTAGGTCGTCTTTGCTCACACCCAGCAGTGAAACAACCATCGCAAATCATGCTAGACTAAGTTCTGGGTATTTGTCAATTTTTCATGAACTGCTCATTTGATAAACTTACTCAGAGTATCTTTCAACGTGACATGTTGACAACAGAATCTTACTGAACTACTCCCCCACAAGGCAACATAGGATCCCTGCAACTTGGGGACCTGTGCTTGAAGATCTGAGAGCCCAGGTAACACAGTCTTGTCCCAGAGCAATTTGGGGTGTCTCTATAAAGACCAAGTCTCTCTTACGAAACTGTAAAATCACCACTGAAAACCAATGGCGCTAAAGCGTGAAGTTAAAATTGAATATACCCAGAGGGCCCAAGAACAAGATGGACTGTTCCTATGTTTGTTAAACACTGCATGATAAAACTAGGACAACTAAGTGCTCATTATATTAGCTACTATAATCTGACTCTTTAATGTAATAATAACTTATTTACTAAGGACCTATTACATGTCAGACACTTGGTATCAACTGTCCCTAGTTCTAACAGCAAGTCTACAAGAGAAGAACTCCCCTTTTTATGATTTGGCAAACTGAAGTTGGCAAGCGTAAAGAATTTGCTCAGAATCACAAAGTATGCAGAGAATAAAATGTGTGTTTTTTAACTATCAATTTTGGCATGACTTTGCTTTCCTACTTTTAATTTGCATCTGAAGAATCATTTATATCTGTCAGTTCCATAACTAGCATTTAAATGAAGCTAAAATAAATTCATCTCACATTAGGGAATGGAATCTGTCTGGGAGATCAGAAAAGAAATAAAATAGTATTCTGTTCTTAACTCACCTCCATATTTACATATAATTAAAATTTATTATTATATGTATGCATTTATTACATAATAGATCTGCTACACTTACGAGCAGGGTATTACTTTCAAAAGTATGTTATAGTTTATGCAACATGAAACAATGAAAAAATCTTTGCATTTTTGTTAAATTAAGATTTTTTTGGAGCTGAAGTAGCTACGCATTTTTAAGAGACTTTTTTACTTTATGTAGATCTTCAAAATGGCAGAAAGTACAAGTTCATCGTGCATTTTCATGAGTGCTGGCACTTCCAAAGTTATGGACGTGGCACCACATTTTATTGTGACTGACAGAAAAATGGTGCTAGGCTAAAAATTATTCTTTCCCGAAATGCCTGAAACAATTCCGTTTAAGTAGCAGGTTAAACTAAATGCTGGGTGAGGAGGGAACACTTGGCATGGTCCCACCCTCACAGCCAGGCAAACCGGGTGGAGCCGGAAGGTGGCGGGAGTGGCAGAAGTTTGTTTTTATCATTACATCAGGACTGGCTGTGTGGAATGCCTGCATTATGCCATCTATTTTTGCAGCAAAGTCTTCCTGTGGCTCATTCTCACTGGGTGGGATGAGCAGCCGGTGAGTTTTATGTGAATTTTCAGTTGTCCGGGAGCTTCTCGTTGCCTGGGGAACTGGGTTCTGGTCACGTGAGTGCACGTGAGGTTAACCCCGCTGCCACAGCGTTTCTCTGAATGACATCCCTCCCAGAAATTCTCTTCCCTGAGCTCCAGTTCTATAAACCTGAGGCTGTTTTCCCCCTGTGGCCTGTTTCTGCCTGTTCCAAATGTACTTCCCTCCAACGCCAAATTCTCCGTGTGCGCCTTTCTTGTCTCCTCCTTCAGATCTTGGCTCTAGAAAGGAAGACTTTCCTGTTAGCGCGCCCTTCCTCTCCTGTAGAGCGGTCCTTGTCCCCTGTCCTCGCGGCTTATGCAGTCTCATTCACGAAGCAAACTCCTTTTACCAACTCTTCCTCCCCTTTCTTTCCTTCCTGTCACCTTTCTGGGCTCACAGCCCAGCTGTAGCCCTCCATTTCCTAGCATCCTGAGATGCAGTCTTGAACCCCGGCGGGCGCCGACCTGCTGGCTGTCAGGTCCTCTGGTCTTTCTCCAGTAAACCCACAGGACAGTCTCCCCTTGCAGCCTCTTCCTCCCCGAGTTCAAGGGCAATTGTGTGTCTCTCGATTTCTCTGGCCATCACCTTGCTCTACCTCCTCCCGACCTGCAGCTAGTAACACCTTCTCTGCTGAGTGGTTCTCAACACTGGCTGTGCGACAGAAATACCTTGGCACTTCTGAAGATAGTTACCTGGGCACCACGATGGTCCCAGGGCATCAGTCTCCAAAGGCAGAGTCCTGGAGGGCGTGTTTTTAAAGAGCCCCTCTGGTGACTCTGGTGAATGGACCTATCACAGGACCTATCACCCCAACCTATTACTCTCTGCCTTGGCATTTCATGATTTCGGGGCCTTACATATTATCACATTGCTAAGATAACCATCCACGAGTTCTGGATTATTTTAAGGAACAATAAAAAATAAACAAAAACAAAAACCAAAAACCATTCTTCAGCCAAGTTTTGGAAAGATTAAACAATGGAGAGGTTATTTTACTGCAGGACAAGTGCACACTTCACACCTCCATGACGATGAAGGCCGTCTTTTACCATATCAGAAAGGATGGTTTGCATCCCAATAGCTCTCTTACCTCCTATAATCCTGCTCGAAACATCACTGCTAGATTATCTGTATGAAGTACCACCCTATTTTTGACATTCCCCTCCTGAATCTTCAGTTAGAGCCAAGTTTAAGTTCTCTAGTTTGGCACCGACGGGTCTGAAAGATTTGGCTCAAACCATCTCACTTTCTTCTTGTCTTTCACTGACGATGAAAAAAGTGTGGAGACACTGAAGTCAGTCCTATTTGGTCCTGAATTATGTTTTGCCTGGGGCAGATGATTTAAACCCTCATTTGCACGTAAGTGAGAGAAAGATAATACTGCCTCCACCTGGAAAGGTTATTTTGAGGATTACACTTCGACAGTGTAAAGACAGTGGCTCTCCAATTTCAGCAGGCGTCATTGTTAGCGGGGATCCTGGTCACAAAAGGAGATGCCTGGGCTACACTCGGATCTGGACCTGGCAGGTCTCTGGAACTACACTGCCCAATATGGCAGCCATGTGCCACATGTGGCCACTGGGTGCCTGAAGTATGGCTGATCCAGACTGAGATATAAGGGTAAGATACCCAGTGTTCAGATTTAATATGAAAGGAGCAATGTAAAAATATCTCAATTTTTTTTCACTGATTACATGTTTAGGATATTTTATCCTAACTGAAATATATTATTCACATTAATTTTACCTATTTCTCTTAACATTTCAATGCTGGTACCAGAAAATCAGAAAATGACTCCTGTGACTCGCATTGTACGTCCGTTGAATAGCACTGATCTTGGGCTTCCTGGTGGCCTAGAGGTAAGTCTCATCAGTGCTATCACCCTCAAGGCCCAAATCTGGCCTGAGTTCATCCCCGGCCAGGGAGCTGACCCACATGGCGCGCAGACCTCTCCTGCCGCACCCGCTGCTCCCCTTAGCAGTACTTCATCAGTCTGCCTGTTCTGCTCCCCACTCTGGCTCTGGTGAATCCTCTCACACACCCCTCCCACCCCCCACACCTCTGGCCTACACCACAGTTCCTCTACACAAAAATAAATAAAATTAAAAAATAAAAAAAGAATAGCACTGCTCTAGATCACACAATTGTGGCAAGTTCCCCAGATGTGGTAGACGTGTGATAGGTATCCTCTGACCACCTCTTGAGGAACAATACATGAAATCCCAAGCTCTCTGAAAGAGGAACTGGTGCACTTACATAGCTTTCTTTTCACCCCGCTCTAAATATCGTGGACACTTCACTACACATTAATTGTAATGCGCTTTAAATTTTGAGCCATCCAAATCCACCCAAAAGTATTTCATGGGTGCTTTCCCCAGTCGTTAAATAATTATTTTGAACTGCCTATCTTAAAGGGAACCAAAAAAAATATGTAACTATAGCTTGTGATTTCTTTCCAAATCAATAGGTGAGTTTCTTTAAAAAGGCCAAAAAAAAAAAAAATAAATAAAATAAAATAAAAAAATAAAGCACAACAAAAGTGTGGATTTTCCCGACGGTTGTTTGATTTCATGTAGAACAGCCTGTTTAATCGACTGGCTCCCCAAACTGTTGAATTTATCGAACTCAACTTCTTCATTTAAAAGTCGTGATGAACTTGAGGAACATTCGGTAATTTTTATACACTAGAAATCCAGCCACATGAGACCAAAAAAGACTGATCTGGGGTGGTGGGGGGCATGGCGGGGGGCCTCTATTCGGGAAGACAGATGGGGAGAACAGGGGCGTGCTCTGGCAGGAGGGAGAAAGTCCAACGAGACACACAGGCAGGGAAACGTGCGCCAGGGTTGGGATGCGGCCCAAGCGAGGCCTGACTTTAATGACCGCGAGCGCAGCAGCAGCAGCTCCACCGCCAGCAGCGCCCTTTCAAGAAGGCTCAGCAATCAATCCCCAGCGACGATTTCCCCACTCACCTCATCGCCACGTTGCTGCCGTCGATAACGATCGGCCTGAGATTCTCGCCGTCGTCCGTGGCCACCTCTTGCAGGGGGGACTCGGCGCGCTGGGCCTCCAGGGAGGCCGCCTCGCGCACGGCGCTGCGGGCGGTGCTCGCTGACGGCTCGGCCTCGCTTTTATTTCCCAGTTTGACGAGTTCCCCCAGGATGTCGTTGATTAAAGCCTCGGTACCGAGTTTGTGGAGCACGAGCTGGACCTGGTCTTCGGAATAGCCTAACTTGAGCGCAAACTCCAGCTTGGTCTGGTATTCGCGCACCACGTCGGGGGGCTTCTTCCCCTCGGGGGCCGGCGCCGGGCACTCCTCGGGCTGGAAGTCCTGCAGGATCTCGTTGCGCTTGAGGATGTGCGGCTCCAGCCCGGGAGACCTGCACAGCTGCCGGTGCGCCTTGGCCAGGAAGCGCGGGGCGCCCCGCGGGGGCTCGGCCTCGCCGTCCGAGAGCGCGCTGCCTTCCGAGTCCCCCGAGCTCGCGCTCTCGTCGGCCGCCTCCCTGGCGTCCAGCCCGGGCTGGGCTTTCTCCATGGCCGGCGGGTCCCCCACGGGCCAAGGTGCGGTCGTGCTTAAATGTGGGTCGGTGCCCTCCGCGTACAGGTGGCCGAGGTCGTGCCCCAGGTGATCCTTCAAGCCCATGAGGCTGTTCCGTGTGCTTGACTCCACCTTGCCGTTTTTCCTGTATTCCTGAACGCACAGCACCCCGTATTCCTAGGGGAAGAGGGGAGACGGTCAGAAGCTCACACGCCCTGGGGCCCGGGGTTCCCGCTACCTCCTCTTGGGCGGCCCCGACGGGGCGCACCTGCCACACCCACCCCTTTCCTCGGATGAAGCGGGGCTAGACTTCTTCAACTTCATTTATTGAATTAATGGAGGGGTCGCTGGTTTACAACGCGGGGCACGATCTAGGGAAACAGGTCTACACCGCCTCAGACCGCCGCCACCACGCCACACCTGGGGCGCCTCAGCCTCCAGCACGCATCACGGAGCCCCTCCCCGCCCCACCCCTGCCTCCCTCTCCAGCAGCCTCAACCCTGTGGACAAGTCTAGGGCTTGTTTTGTCAGGAACTGGTGTGTCTGCCCAGTTTTGCCGGAGCCCAAAACCCATATGCCTTCCCCACTGTTACCATGCTCCTCCTCAACCTTCGCGGAAGAGCTTTTCCCACTCCAAGAAAGGCCTGTGTTTCTACAGGGACCCGGGAGGTCACCACCAAGCATGTCTTAGCTATGCTGAAGAGGCTGTGCACATCAGCTCTCAAAGAATTCATAAACGTTTATAAATAGTCTTTTAAAGAGAAAGCCACGTGGCACGAAAAACATTAACTTACTAGCATTGAAAAAATTATCATTGATTTGGATCAAACTTAACAACAATCTAAATTAAAGCTGTTTCAAAAATATGTAGATACGGTGATGAAAAAGCACAGATTCCACAACAGCCACCAATTCCAAAGTGAATCCTAGTCCATTAAGAGATGACTAGTTTTGCCCTAATCTTTATTTTGTGAATATCGAACAGAGTAATAAAATGCAATTTTTTAGTGTTTACGCTATTCTTATTCAGAGGCAAATGGGCTCTTCTATCCTATGCACACTGATAGACAGTAGAGAAATGAAGCATTTCCAATAAAATTAGCAGCATAATTTAATTTAGCATGCTGAATAAACAGTGTTATCTTAATTTTTAAATTTTATGGCAGAAAATTACTCTGATATAACAGGTAATTAGTTAACCATTATCTGCATTTGGTTAAAAAGTCATCTTTTCTCCTACTTTTCCCTTATAGGAATGCTTTCACTGTTTTCAAATGCTTTTGCAGTTTTACTGTTTTCCTTGAAGTATATTGTTATTTCTCTACCAGGAATAGGTTAGCAAAATAAAATTAGTTTCTCCTGTGCTGCATTGTAAGGGCTATATTCACACCAGTAGTTTGCTTATTAAGGCAATCCCAGTGTTCTAACCACGAATAACATTACTCAGCCAGTGGTAGATGAATTCGAGATTGTCATAAAACAGCTATTTAAATAACCTGAAAAAGAAAATTGGAAAAATATTTGATTATAAGGCTCTTCTTGTCCCATTTACACTAGAAAGGGACTATTATATAAATGTTAAGAGAGAATGCTAAGTGATTTTCTAAGAAATCACAAATCTGAATGCATACTTGGTAAACTTATTAGTGTGTGAAGCGTTTGCCACATAATGAAATAAATTATATTAACTATGGTAAATACTAGAGCAAAGAACATGGAATCTTTAGCTCGATAACAATACGCTTAAAAAACTCCTTCAGGGTAGAACGCCCTACATGAGTTTCTTCAGGTTTTATCCCTTGAGAAGACAGAGACACTTAATATCACTGCTCTTCTAATATAGCATTCATTAGTTTTAAAGAAACATCAAACTCTCCTAGTTCCCAGTTGCACAAGTGATTAAAAGAAATATTTCCTAGGAGAGTTCTCTTTACATCTGCTTCATTATGAGGCTGTATCCAACTCCATTTTTTTTTCTATTAATGTGGATATGCATGAGCCCAATTATTTAGAATTAAAGGAAGGGATTTTGAAAGCAAATCTTTACACTCAAGTGATTTATTAACTACTGTAATATACTGACACCATAATGCATGTAACAAATCACAACAGCATGCTAATAAAGGGATACAGTTAAAAGAAAATCTGCACTGTGGCCTTCGCAGAGCTACCACCCAAAGTATCTTCAACAAGGAAAACCTATTGGAAGCTGGGCTGCCTGGCAACCAGAAGCTGGTTGCTAAGCTGCACTCTCTTAACATGCCATCATGAATGCTAGCACAGTGAAAGAATAATTTGGTATGAACAAAAGCCTATAAAAGAGACTGGGACTTAAGTGCGTCTGGTTTACCCTCTGAGAACAATGCAGCTGCCAAACCAATCTGGAAGCTCCGACATCATTGTTCTGTAAACCCCACAATCTGCTCTGACTGCAGGAAGTGTATTTAATGGACAACATTTTTGATCTCCCCTGAAAAGTTTGGGTTTTGCATAAGTGCTGTTGTGAGATAATTCTTCAAGATAATGACTCACTGACCAAATCCCCGAATTGAACAAGGAAATATTATTTTAATATTGAACTGTAGGGTTTTTCTTTTGGACTGTTTTGAACATGATGAATACTTTATGAAAATACAGCCAGTGGGGAACATTATAATGAAATGTTGTTGAAAGAATGGGTGAAATTTTTCTTAGTTTTTCCCATTTTTCAAAGAAAACCAAATACTGTAAAGTTTTTAAACTATGAAGTATTTGCCCTAAAAAACTACATTATTCCTCCTATGTCACCTTCAGTCTAATAAAAAAAAAAGTTGATGACACTACATAAATCTGCTCTGCTACATAATTTTATTATATGGCTACAATGATAAAAGAGAAAAAAATGAGATTATCAGTTGCTTGCTTTATGTATTAAATCATATAAAACTCACTGGTACACAAATGTACTTAACGAGTACCACCCACCTTTAACTTGTGATAATTCATATAATCTATATATACTACTAAAATAAAAAGTTAACAATAATTGGGCTAACATTATGTTAAGGAATTAAGGCTAAATGTAACCTTGACCCTACATTTAAAAAAATCAAAATCTAATTTTGTTTAAAAGATTCTAGTTGACCTTTTATTTTCACACTAACAGGCTCTGTTCATCTTCCAAACTTCATGGATTGGCTCAGATAAAGTTATCCAAAGTCTTCTTACCCTCCATAAGCAGTTAAATAATTTTTAGTTTCTATAAATTAACAGACCAAATAGGAAGTAGTACAATTCAGGGCAAATGTGTTCAGTTACCAGGCCTGTAAACTCTGTATTTTCTCCCTATATACAAATTTGAAATAACCTGATTTGCTTTTACCTGCATGGTAAAGATTTGAGTTTTAAAAATTGAATCTCTAAAGTGGTTCCTTACCTACTCATAATTAGTAAAATATTTCCCTAATATAATATGGCACTTAAAAAAAAAAAAACTTGGCAATATCTTGAAATCACTCAATAATAATTTAAATGCTAGTCTAAGGATTTAAAAACTGACGAAACTGATTTCCATCTGCTGTAAAATAATGTGCAAAACTTACAAGCAATTATAAGAGATCTTAGGACAAAGGATGGTATAATCTTTAGTTTTGTTTGTTGTCTTAAAAATGATCAATATGATTTTGAAGTAGAAAACAGCAAAGACCCCAATAACTCACAAAATTTATTATTACATGTAAGGTAGAAAGTATTTTCTCCTACATTTGTCAACTATTTTGTTTAAACTATTTCAGGCTTTCAGGTTTTGCATTTATTCACATGCAAATATATCATCTTCAGTCAAGTATTAACTGGTAAAGACAATTTTCCTCTTTTCATGAAGAAGCACCATAAACAAACTTTCACGTAATAGACCAGAGGTTACCTTACCATACTAACTAATCAAAAACCTCCAAGAAATATGGCTTACCTTTCAAGCTTTCTATCAGGGAGCCATTACAATTGGCCTTTACATACTATATTCATGAACACAAAAGGTACTGGGGAAAAAAATACAATGATCTGAAGACAGATGTCTAAACTTAAAAGCGATACACTCCCTCCCTGTACTGTAATGGAAACAGAAATAGTTTTCCTTGCCAAAGAACTACAAAGTTCAAAAGTACACTATTTGTTGAAAAATAACTAAATGTTCATGCTAACTTTGTAGATGATGATGAACTGCACCAAAATGTTTTAATGGCTAAAAGGAAGCTTTCTATTAGATGGATGTAGGTTTATGATATAATGGCTATTTACTAGAAATTTGTTGCATATACACAGATCCCATTTAGTAAGTAGATTTTCTGGAAGGTTTCATTAGATGACTTGGATCATCTTTCATTTCAAATAAATAAAAAAAACTATTCTAAAGAGTATCCTGGATACACTTAGGATTATTAGAATTATTATTAGGATTAGGATTATTAGAATACAAACTTGGTAAATCAATGTATTTGTTTATAACACAAAGTTACAATACTAAAAAGTGGGTCCTGGTTATTATCTAAATGGTAATACTATGAGAACAATGAAAATAAAATAATGAATATGTAATAAATACCTACTGCTGTAGCCTCTGTGTATTTAATTACCATTGTATTTCAGTGAATGCGGGTGTCTGCACCCCCCCCCAGCTAACAAAGGAAGGATGTCCCTTTGAACAGATTGGTTAATGCTCTGGGGCAACAGATGTCTACTGGAACTGCAGGAGACCAGCAACTGGTGGCCTGCCCATCTTCTGAAAACTTTCAATAGACTTATGCATATGTTCACACAATAGGGCATGTGGTAGAAATGAAAACCTCCTTTTAACCCTTTATGTTCTTTTTTCCCCCTCCCAACTGAAAGATGAAAGTCTTTGTCTCCTCCTCCCTCGCTCATTACAGAACTCTTGAAAGCAATAGTTCTTGGAATGACATCTTCAATCTAATATCTGAAACTAATGCGGGGGGTGGGGGTTGGGGAGGGAGAAGAAGGTGGGAGGAAAGAAACTAGAAACTGTACATGAATACTCAAACTGCTGACAAAGCAAATGAATGCTTAATCATCATATTTAAAACAAGCTGTTTGAAACATCTACCTACATCAATCCATCTCCCCAAGCTAGATTTTTAGGACAATGGTAAAATATATCTAATTTTATTCTCATTTCACAGCACCTGGGTATGAACAGTGACATCTTGAGAAATGTTAAGAATTTGAGAAGACAACATTAAAATTCATCGCTTATCAAAGTATCAGGACATATAACTTATCTTTCAGTCCCAAAGGGGGGACGCCTTGCAATTGCTCACGAAGCTGTAAGCAGTAACTCCAGAATATGAAAATGTAAAAATCTGCTTCACGCACATATTTTACAGAGAGCATCTAAGTTTCTGTTGTTTTATTTTGGCACTGTGCAATAATTTGCAGGCTTTCTTTTCAGGTGCTTTCTATCTTTACAGCGTTTAAATTAATACTCTGACTATTTAGGCAAAGTTTAACTTTCAAGGCATTAAGTAGCACAGATACTCACGTTAGCAGGAAAATACAAAGACATTGGTTTCTGTAGCAGCTTCAGCAGTAACTCCTTAACACAATTTTAGCTGCAGACTTCAGGCAGGCAAGAAGAACAATGAATGGTTGAACAGATGGAATGGCAATGTCTTTGCTTAACCTATTACTGAGAGGAGGAACAGCCAATCATAGGCCAGAGAGCTCACAATTAGTTGGCCGGGCAGATGCAAGCCAACCTCAGCACCCTGCGTCAGGTTCGTAGGTTTCTAAGATAAGCAAGTTGATGTCATTCTCCGGGTCTGCCCCGGGCAGCATGTGTATTAACGAGGGTGTGCAGCAACAATAGGCCATACAAAGCTGACTAGCAGGCAGCTGCTCTATGAGAGCAGAGTCATTAGGGAGCAGGCTGCCAACAAGAAACACCTGGCTTGGGGAGACCTCAGCTTTTCCTCCTTGTCTTTATAATGCATGAAGCAAAGAAACCAATTATATATTAAAGTAGTGAAAGTTGCATGTTTCCAAAAAGTTGAGGCTACACTCTCCTCTATTAGCCTTTTGTTCTTGAGAAATAAAGAAAATGAGGTGTGTCAAAGTAGCAATTAACTATGGTAGCAATGCCTTTGCTTTAACAGATGAGCTACTGGTGAAATGAGACAGAAGGTTAGAGTGAAATTATTCCCCTGAAAGAGAGGGGAAACCTAAATTATTTGTAAGTCTTGGTTAACTTGTTGCTAGACAATAAAACTAAAGGGAGGGTAAAAATAAGATTGCGGCAGAAAAAGGATTAAGAATTTGCAAACAGTTGATTTTTTAAAAGTTCACACTAAGCTTATACAGTAAGAAAAAACAAGTTGGGTCCAACTGTGCCCAGTGAGTCACCTGAACGACTTTCAGACAAAGGTGCTTGACTTCAACCTGCAGTCACCGCCACGGCTTGCCTTTTATCTGTCAGATAATAGCCGAAAGTCCCTTATGGGGGATGCCAGTTAGTCAGGTTAATCAACAAAGCAGATTCTTGCAGGATGTTTTAATATACAACTAAATACAGTGTTTGTATTTCAAATGATGTGCAAGATGTAATACTCAAATTTCAGTTCAGAAACAAGTTAACTTTACAAAGAAGAAAAACTGTGATGTTTTAAAGGCTCTGAAGTAGACCAAACTAAATGAGGAAGCTTGTTATCCCTGATTTATTTCCAAATCCCTGACTGCAGCACTTATAATTTATGGGCCTAAGTGACCCATCTTGAGTGACCTCTGACCAGGAACAAAATGCAACTTAAACATCATAAAGTATTGTGGTTGGGAGAAGAAAAACAAAAGTTGTCCTGCCACCTGCCCATGTGATACAGAACCTACACGTGTGCACACACGTGTGTGTGCTCACTTGCCTCCTCTTTTCATGCCAATGCAGGTCACAAGAGTGAAAGCAAAAAACTGCTCTTAAAATATAATTTTCTGGTAAAGGCTGACTTAGGAGATAGGAGAGCCTAGACTTTACCATTCTATAATCAAGAACTCTAAAGACATAAAAGTTGTTGAAAGCCTCCCAAGCATCCTAAATCCTCCTCCTGTCACACACAAATTCAGAGGCAACTCATACTTGGGATCATTTGAACAGAGTAATACTGGTGGGGACCCTTGACCGGGTCCTTACTGTGCCCACTCATATGTAAATGAGACCTTCTCTAAGAGGAAGGGCTACCTATGTGGCTAAACATTTCCAATGATCTCACTGTAAACATTCTCCACCTACTAAAAGCCTGAAAATTAGTGTTTCCAGAAAAAAACTAAAACATAAAATATATCATAGATCATCAGTTGTCTACCCATATCCCTCCTCAAAAGAGCGTAATATTATATGAAAGTATGTGATTCCAAAAATGTTAGAAAACCTGAGGATCTGAAAATGTTTGCATTAAATATAATGATTAGGTTCTGAATGGCAAACTAATTTCTAAAGCTAGAACTATTCTTTTTCTGCAAGATTTATAATGACGTTTCTGCAACAGTTAAGTTCATGATGTACTTTCATAACCTATAAACTCATTAAAGATCAAGATAAAGCATCTCTAGTAGTTTATTGCAAATTGCAAATAGGATTCTTAGGCAAGCATATGAATATTGCAGACATAAAGTGAAAATTTTTTCTTCTCTTTTTTGGGGGTGGCTTGGGGGTACTTTCTTCTAAAATCTTGTGAGAAAAAGTATCAACCCTGAAAGGAGTAAGAAAGGAACATCAAGGTCAGTAAAGTGAGCTGCTTCTCGCGAAACCAACTTTCATTAAGATAAAAATGAGCAAACATACCTCCATGCAAAGTAGTTACAACTAAAATCGAATAAAATTTAGGTTCAGATCAACCAGAAAGGCATGTGGTCAATAGCTATGCGTTCACATTAAACTGGTTTCTTTTGCATCTAAAAAGGAAACGCCTTAGTGGGAATTGACAGTCTTTTGTTTTCCCCTGGGTTTTCTTCTTTCTCTTTATTTCTTGCTACTAAAGTTCCTACTTTATAGCTTTAATTCTGGAGGAGGAGGAAGAGGACTCCTCTCACTAATTCCTGCTGCTGTGAACACACAGTGAGAGTGAACTACCCAGAGCCTGGCAGGAGGTCTGATGCTAGCACTGGATTAAGCTCTTTTGCAAATAGCAAATAAAGGCAATGATCTGCAAAAGCTGATCAGTTCCTGCTGGGGTGTTTAGACTATCACTGCTGCTGGCCTTGGCTGTTAAGCACCTTAAAACATCTGTAGGTGAAAAGGTGACCCCAGGCGGCAGTTCTTAGGCACAGAGTCCAAGCCCACCTCCCTATGCAGAGTAAACTCTAACAGGGATGCTGGGGTGCTGGACCCTCCAGAGGCCAGGTCATAAAGGCTGATCATTTGTGACAGCAGAAAACAGACAGTGTAACTTTAGGAGGCGACTAAAATCTGCCCCTGCCAGGAGTGCGGGGGTGGTGTTGCGCATTTGAGGTTTCCCGCCTCTTCGAGAGGAGCCTGTGGCTGTGTCCAGGCAGGGAAATGAGACCCAGGGGCTACTGCATCAGTTCCTGTGGTCAGTGGTGACCCAAGTCAGCTTCCTGGTAGCGTCCCCCTCACCTGGATGGGTCCCTCCTTTCATCAGGACACTTTCCAGCCGAACAATACTGCCATGGAAAGGTAGGTGGTCACAGATGGTTTTCCCTGGGTACCCCGAAAGGTCGACGGGTTAAAATTTTAACCAAGTCATTATTTTTGTGAGTTAAAAAAACAAAACCAAAACACGAACAAACCACACCACAGAAAACCTAACTCATACACGGGGTGTACAAGGTCAACCGGGCGCTCCCTCTCATTTCTGAGCTAACAATATTTAGGAAGTCAGATGGGCCGTGAAAGCTTTAATATGTTTCATTTCCTCAGGCTTCAATCATTCTCGTTACTTAATTTATCTCCTTTCTTGAGCAACCTCTAAGTCTATCTCTGCCAAAGTAATTTTCAGTGACACCGCTCTTAGGCAAAATGAAAAAACAGCAGCAAATCACAAGAATCGGGTCCTCTACTTTGTTGTCGAGTTTTTCCGACCGCCTGGGCTCCTGCAGGCCCCACAACCTTGCTTCCCACCGCTTTTAAGGGGAAGGTCAGCAAAAGTGAAGTGGCCAATGCCAAGAGCACTGCCCCTTCGCCCTCGCTGTTCTCCAGCACAGACACCCCTTCCCGTGCCGCCTCTCTTGCTCTTAGCCCAGCTCATGGCCTATTTCCCCCAAAAGACCTTCTTGGATAAGTCCAGGGCATTGATTCCCGGTCCTCTGAGGTTCTGTATTGTGAAGCTTCCGTACGGCACATGGCAGCGCGTGTGGATGAGCCCCCGTAAGCTGCATCCAGGCAGGGCCTTCTGGGTTCCCTCCATCTGCATGGTATGAGCTGCCCGGCTGTGGGGGGCACTCGCCTCCAGAAGACACCAGTGAGAAAGAAAAAGGCTCCCGCAGATTTGAGCACAGCCATTCCTAGGAATAAAGCTCTTCCCTGCCATCTGTAACAGGGTGAGTTCATCAAAGGGCCCCAAGTGTGTCCACTGGCCCCGGTTCTGCCAGGGGGAGGCTCCAGGAAGCTAAAAAATCACCAGCTGCAGCCTCTCAGGCCAAGGTGGGGGGGGGGGTCTTTTCCTGAGCCTCCTGGGGCTTCACTTTCCCAACTCGAGGAGCGTCCAGTGAAGCACCACTCCAGACTCTACCAGAGGATGATTCAGCTGAGGGGTAACTCTGGGAGCGGGGAGTGCAGGCAGAGCCCAGTGCCTCCCTCTGTGGCCCCTCTGGGGACCAGCCCAAGTGTAGATACCACCTGGCAGCTGTGCTCTGCAGCCCCTCCTGAGACAGGGGGCTAAATCGCTCTAACTTGGAAGTTCAATACTTTATGCTGTGTTCTTAAGTAGTGGTCTTTAAGGGGTCTATCAAAAAAAAAAAACAAACAAACAAACAACTGCTATTTTGATGTCCACCTGCCTGGTTCCGTTGTCAATATCTCAGTTGTTTCAGAATGAAGGCAGAAAGAGTGTGTAATGGTCTATTAATGTAAAGGAAACCAGGGGAAATACAACATGGCATACATAAATACAAGAGGAACTACAATCCAGAGATGGCCTAGTAAAAGTACTTAGTTAGACAAACAACTCTCCTTGGCTAAAAGGAACTGGAAAACATTGAGGGTGACAGAATGAATGCTTGTGCTAGAAAATGCTCAGTGAAATTAGCACTGTAGTTTACAACTAATTTTTCTTGAGAGCGTTCCATTCATGTCAGAGGGTGATGTAATAATTTAGACATCAAGAGTTCGGAGCATTTAGGACAAGAATCCTCAGAATAAATTACTGTATACTCTAGGACATGTTAAATCTAGACGACGCATCATCCTGAATAGCTGCCAAGTGCAACTTGATTGTAAACTCTAACGGGGCAGGGATCTTGGCTTTTACCTTCTGCTTTACCCCCAACACCAAGCAGAAAGCCGGACACACACCAGGTGCTTAGCAAATCTGTATTGAATAAATGATAGCATTTCAATATTGGGACTAAAATCTCATTTCCAGGTTTGTTCTTTATTTCCCGTCACATGCCTACCCTCCAGCAAAGGACCGTTTTTCCCGCAGTGTGTCTCTCCACGACGTAGTGCAATGGGAATCATCTGGGAGATTTAAACTAAACTGTGTTGGAGTCGTATTTTTTTTAATTAATACTTTATTTTATATAATTCTTACATCATTTTTCATTTTTGCACAATGTATGCATTTTCATTTTGGTTATATTCCCCTTACAATTGCACCCCTCCCCCATTTTGACCCTAGTCCTTCCTCTCCCCTTTGGAGTCGTATTTTGTTGCTCTGAGTGAAGTGTGGGTGATTCTAATGTGCAGCCACTTTTAAGAACATTGACTTAAAGTTCCTTCCTTTTAACACACCTTTTTTCCCCACAGTGTCAGGGATTAAAATCTTACTCATTACTCTCACAGATTCAGCTACAAACCCAACTCTGCCACTAAAGTTCCTGGAACGCAGTTAGATGTATCTTTGGGTGATGTGAGTTCTGCACAGGGCCTGGCAGGGAGCTCAGCCTGGACAAGTCTGAATGGCGAATAATCCTGGGAGCATGGCACAGAGTCAAAATGCAGGAAATTTTTATCGACAGAATGATGTCCTTTTATTAACGAATTCTCTATTTGCAAATCTACCTACTTACTGACATTGTAACCCTAAAGCTAATGCTCACAGGGCTGCGAAGCTGCCGGTAGCCTCTGCAGCGCTGGTGCGATCCCCGGCCGCCAGCAAGGGTCCCACATGGCGCGACGGACCTCTCCAGCCGTGCCCGCTGCTCCCCTCAGCAGTGTATTTCGTCAGTGTGCCTGTTCTGTTCCCCGCTCTGGTGAATTCTCTCACCCACCCGCACTTGTGACTGTACCCAGTGCTTGCATAAATAAATAAATAAATAAATAAATCTTTAAAAAAAAAAAAAAAAAAAGCTAATGCTCACAGTGCTTGGGTCACACCCTGAACACCTTAAACACGTGCACAGGAAGAGAGGCAGAGCCTGAGGGCCCAAGGCCATTCCCAGCTGAGGCTGATCAAGGGGACGTTCTACTTTATGATTTCTGCTCTCTGTTGTAAACAAGTATCCTTCTTGTGGATTACTGAGGCTGTGTTTTTACATTTTTTGCTTTATGTTGGTGAATTTGCTGTGGAAATGGTCTAACCCACCCCCCCAAGGCTGGTGCTGAAGGACTATCTATTGTTCCTAAGCACAGAAAGGCTGAGCAAGTGCCTTAATGGAGAAAATACCTGTGTTAGGTAAGCTTCGTTTAGGCATGAGTCAGTGCTGCTGGGAGTCCAATGTTAACGAATCAACAGCATTTAATAAATATGGTGTTTTCAAACAGCAACACACAGTCGCTGTTTGTACAAGGTATATACTGATTGGTCAATAGAGATGTTTTAATCAGAAGCTCTCAGGAAACTAACCCTGCATTTCCTCTAGGAGCAATGGGTCAGCAGTCACGATGACCTTCTAGAATACAAATGCAATGAAAAGCAAGCACTGACAGTGATTTCTCCCCCTCTTCAGAACTCTTTAGAGGCCACACCTGCAACTTTAAATATCATTTCCCTTCAGCAAATATCACCTCGTAGGTGCCAGGTGGTAGGGCAAAAAGAACAAAGCAAGAGCCCTTTTCTCACCAAGCCCACAGTGCTGGGGGTGGGAAAGAGACTATAAACACTAAATAGGTTTCAGTTGATGGCAAATGCTCTGAAGAAATGGAATCAGGGAAGGTTTTGCTGAAAAGGTGGTATTTGTACAGATACCTACGTAAAGTGAAGGGAAATGTGGAATAGGAAGAGGGAGGGTTACGCGCTAAGGGCTGAGATGAAAGTGTGTGCACAGTACAGCTAGGCGGTCACTGTGACCAGTGGCAAGTGGGAGAGGGGTGGGGTCAGAAGGTGAAGACAGAAGGGTAAGGCCAAGAAAAGCCAGGTGTGCAGAGCCTTGATGGGCACTGCTTTTCAAACTTCACGCTGCACTTGAATCACACATGAAGATTCTGACTCAAGAAGTCTGGGGTGGAGTCCGAGGTTCTGCCTTCTGATATCTCCACTCCTGATGCTATTCCTGTTGAGTTCAAGGCCCCTACTTTGAGCAGCAGGGTCACAGGTCACTTAAAGACCAGACTTTTATTCTAAGCTGGGAAATCTTTGGAGGGTTTTAAGCGAAGGAGTGCTATCACCCTATTTTATACTGATGTCTTAGGTCGGGCTTACTTCCACACTTTTTACTTGTGTCCCACTGATCTTTTCTGTATCTGGAACTGATCCATATAGTAACTGTGGATTTGGAATACAGCTTTTCCTTGACTTCCAATGAGATTACATCCCTTTAAACCCACAGTAAGTTGAAAATAGTACAAAAGGAAAATGCTTTGGAAGCACCTAACCTAATGAGCAGCATAGCCTAGGCCTGCCGCCTTAGATGTGCTCCGAACAGCGGCCCCCAGCTGGGCAAGATCATCTAACAGAAAGCTTATTTCATAATAAAATGTTAGGTGGCTCGAGTGACGTACTGAGCACTGTACTGAAAGTCAAATACAGTCTGTAGAGTATCCTTGTTTACTTGGTGACGGCCTGGGTGGCTGGGAGCTTGGCCCACTGCTGCTGCCCAGCATCAAAAGAGTGGATGGAACCACTTGCTCAAGGAAAGGTCAAAATTCAGAACTCCAAGTATGGCTTTTATTGAATTTGTACCACTCTCATGGTGTCGTAACATTGAAAAATCCTAAGCCAAACCATTGTTGTCGGGGACCATCTGTATAATTGGGCTCCCTGCCTGTCCAAGTCTTCCATCATGTTTTTTCTCCTCATTTTTATATTCTTATCCTGGCTATTTTTGCATGTGCATGCTTCCAGAGACTTTAGAATTGTTTTGACACGTTTTAATCAAAAAGTTGTTGGATCACTGTGATTTCAGGCTGCTGCAGAAGAGGCCAGAAAGCCAGGATGTGGCTAGTTTGAATACCATGCTCAAGAATTCCAACTAGGGAATGACTGAAGGTTTCTGAAAGAGCGTGGTGTGTTTCTGTCTGTGTTTTAGAAAGGTAATGGGGAACCACTGGGGGTTTCTGAGAACGTCAAGGATGCGTTT